CCCCAAAACCCCAAAACCCCAAAACCCCAAAACCCCTATTCCTATAAAAGAATAGAATGATAAATAAAAGAGTTAGAATGAAATAATTTAGTTAGATAATTTTAACATGGATGAAATATTGCAGATCCCCAACTCCACTAATCCTCTCTCCTAGAGAGAGTATTCCCCAGACAAATTCGTACTTTTCCTCTCTTTACTCTATGAATTCTCACTTAACCTCCTATTATTTAGAGCATTATGAATGAGTCGAGAAATGGAAACTATAAATAATCATTATAGAAGTAAAGTTCAAAGAAAGTAAGTTGTAATTATTTCTAAGGTAGTCAATTATTATTGAAGAATTTAGACTCCTTATTTCTATCTTTAATGATACTAAACTCATATACTTATAGTATTCTATTGATACGTCGATCAAGGCTTCTAACAAATTTGTGAAGAAGAGTTCCTTGAGAATGCCTCCGCTGTGCAATAATTCATCTTCGCTGAACATGTCAAGTATGAATAACTATTAAAATCCAATATTTCTACCCAACCTTCAAAGCTCTATCAACTCCAATATCAACTACGCAAACACCAATACCAATAGTAATACCATGGGTTTAGCCTCGTAGTTATATAACAATCCAGTTAATGTGAGTAGCCACACAGGGATGCTATCTCATCAGAGTACGAATGTCAACACCAATGTAGCGTTGAGCAACTAAAATAATAATAACAACAACAATACTCACAACACTTCTACCTCCAATACAAATGGAAATGGCAATGGAATCAATCTAGTTCTGTCATTGCACAGCCAGAGTGAACTCTCTCCCCAGGCCTACACTAATAAATATTAAGAACAGATGGTTAGAAAGATAGCTAATAGCAGCAGTTTTATGAGTCATAATTATACTGTAAGATTGTTAATTTATGATTACTTCATAAATTTAATAAGATATTGTCGCTAATTATTATAGAGTTCACCAACAAGCAGGATCCATAAGGAAGCTTCAAAGCAGTCTCTAGGAACAATTTACAGTTCAGGCACTGTATAGCAAAATCATTATCAGTAGTAGTAGAGTACCAGATAAAGCTAATTCAGGTCATCTAGATTATATAAGAAGTTTTATAACCCAAACGGCATTAACTCTAACCCGCCCACACATCATCTTATCAATCAAGAGTTATAATAATCTCTGGGCACATTAAATGGTGGAAATAGCAATCACTCTTTAGACAAGTCTCCATATCAAAGATAACTGGCTTAAGGATACTAGCAAGCAGAACATAACATAACTTCGGGACAGACCTCAGTATCTAAGCAGAGAAATACTACGCACAACACTTTATCGCATAACTAGCAGCCGACTAATATATTCAGTAGTCAACACCAATCCAACATTATAAATTAGGCTCGTAAAGGAATGAGTCTCTATTAAAAGCGTAAGATGAAGATAAATCAAGTCTCCCTGGGGAATATATCAATAACAGATGAGCGATCCACAGATATCCATGAAGAAAACAGCTTTAACAATTAGAGTTTAACCAATAATCTACACCAAGAAACGCATGGTCGGGGCTTTAGTAACGGAAATAACAATATCACGCCTTATAAAACTGTTAATAATTTTAATAATCTTAAAAGCGTAACTAAATCTACAAGCAGTAAGCAATCCTCACAACTTAGACATTAGAATCCATCCAGTCATAACACTAATAATAATATTCTCGAGTCTCAGAATGGCGCACTCACTGATCAATTAAGATCTTATTAGAGAAAGAGTAAATTCACTTAGCATAAGGAGGGGTGTCAATCTTAAAACGTTAATGAATTATTATCAGAAAGAGAATCCGGTAATCATCCTAGCATTTAGATAATGACCGAGTAGAGCAACAATGTTAATACTTAGACTTTGCTGCTTAAAATCGAAGAGGAAAACAATGACGTTAAGAGTAGGTCTAAAAATGGCTAAAGTCAGCAGTATCTTAAGTAATTGGCCTAGGATAATATTAGCAAAGTTAGCTCTAAGACTGAACTGCCTGAGTTGAGGTAATCTAAGTTTTAAGTATAGCAGTCAGCTAATAACAATCTGATACCTAGTTCTTATAATAGACTTCAGAATAATCAGTCAATTAACTTAAATAGATTGAGCTAGCAGCAAAGATAGCAATAGACCTTTATCAGCTCAGAGACATCTAGTAGAACTCAGCTAAATCAATTTGGAAATTCAATGCATCATGAAACTATGAGCTATATGGATAAGCTTTAACTAAGTGGCAAGAAAAACACAAGCAAAATAAGTCATTTAAGAGTCAATCCTGATTCTATTAATAATCAGAGCATAACTTCACATTAATTGACAGAGATAGAGACATCTGTATCGCCAAGATACTTGATTGATAATGGGAGTAAACAGGGCCATAAGATAATGCCCTCTTAGAAAAAACAGTCCTCTCAGTCACTATCACTTAAAACTCAGTCGTCCTTCAATCAGAGTGCCAACAAAATTAGAATTGAGATTAACAAGGAAGAGTCAGTGCTGCAGTTCTTAACTAAAGATCATAAATAGGGGCAATCCCTGCTCTACTATGATTTCAATGGTTCTAATTAAAGAATGAACAATAATAAATAGCAAAGAGTTCAACAAAATTTGGCTGACTTGATTATCCCTGAGGAGACAGAGGAGCTGCCAATGATCAACATAACTAACAAGGATCAGTTGCAAAGACAAGACAGTGCTTAGATTCTAGCCAGGCTAGCTAAGAACTAAATAGCTTCAGCTAATATTTATGGCAATCAAAATACTTTGCCAACTCAGTAATCAATCACACAGCAAAGTGTATCTCCAAGATAAGAGGTTGAAATCGTAAACTAGAAGATTGATAAGGCAAGAAAGAAAATTAGCAGATACTTTGCCCAGAACTAGAGTCTGAGCAATTTATCAATGAACAATACCACTGCTACGAATCAGAGTGTGATGAATAGAGATTAGAACTCACTTAAAAACCTTAGTGTTGATATCGTTAGAATGGGTTCACCATTCTTCGGCAACTCAATGCACAAACATATATAGAACTCTCCCAAATTGGTCAATACCAAGCAGTCTAGTTCTACTATGAAAATATCTCCTTCAAAGTAGCAACAGATTATCATTTAATCTCATCAACAGACGTTTCAAGAGAAAAATAAAGGCTAATTCCTTAGCTTAGAGCAAAAGCTAATGAAAAAGGAGACCTCTCAGTTCTATGTAAATACCTAGACTCAAAATGGTGAACACACTAATACCTCTAGAATGGGTTATATCAAGGAAGATGAATACAGCAATTCAGATGATGACCGCTACGTCAATGAAGAGTATCCAAATGACTTCAGTTTCAACTAGGATGATATAACATAGAACGGAGAGATTAAACAAACCAGTAAGGGTGAAGATGGGGAAGTCCGTAATCCTTAGATAGTTATTGAGGAGTAATAATATGATGATATAAGTGTGAATAATCTTGATGAGGTTTAAGTAATGGTTTACAAAAACTAATACTCAGATGTCAAACTTGGCTAGGATAACGTGTCTGATTCTAATCATCTGAAGATCAGAGATGACAGCTATTCCCAGGACTCATTCCTTGAGGAAGGTCATGGAGTGTTTAGTTCTACTCAGGCTAAAAAGCAGTCTGCTAAAACTAACTCAAAGCACTACAAACAGACTCTGCCCAATATTTCAAACAATCTCAAAAAGCAGATTAAGAACGCAGACTTTAATTAGTTTGACAGATCTAGACTCAAGCAAGTGAAAAGGACAAGCACTGTTGATTATGTAAAGGAGGAGGAGTCAGTATGGTCGTGAAGGAAATGACACTAAAGCTAGAATAGGCTAAAATGTAGCAGTATTAATAAAAGAGATATAAAAGTGTGAATCTTCAAATTCAAACTAGTATAGATATATGTATTACAGATTGATTATTCTTAATATATGCTATCTTGTGAATATATTTATTTATTTGAATTTTATTAATTATCAATTAACTTTATATTAAGAAGATCAAGTCAGTGGATATTCTTGTAAATTGAAGATGTTTAATCATCTTCTTCTACCACCGCCACCACCTCTTCTCATACCTGGAGGCATACCAGGTGGCATACCTCTACCACCTCCGCCACCGCCAAGAGCGCTCGCAAGAGCCCCAAGATTTGGCATTCCACCTGCACCAGCAGGACCACCGGCGCCTCCCATCATTTAAGACATCATATCTTGCATACCTTCCATATTACCCATTTCTTTCATCATATTCATAAGGTTACCCATGCCTCCCATTTGCTGTAGAAGCTTAGGATCAATAGCCTTTGACATCTATTGCATGAGTTACTTGGGGTTTCTATTCAGGTTCTTTAAATCAGTTTGACTGTTTAGATTCATCTTACCGAATTGTGCCACCATTTTAGCAAACTTCTTATGTTCCTCAAGTAGGAATGCTACCTCCTCTGGTCTAGTTCCTGAACCTCTGGCTACTCTAAGAATTCTTAATTCAACTAAGGGCTTTGTGCAATCTAACTCTTCGTCTGTCATTGAATCCATCATGCACAGGAATCTCTTAATTCTTGCAGTTGATTCCTTCTCTCTTCCCTTGGGGATCAGATTTGATGATAGACCTGGAATCATGCTTACAACTTGATTCAAAGGACCCATGTTAAGTACAGATGAAAACTGATCTCTCATATCTCTCAAAGAGAATTCTCCCTTTTGAATATTTTCTACCATTTTCTTTTGCTTATCCTCTGGGATTGCTTCTTTCACAGTCTGGACTAAACCACCGATATCTCCTAGACCTAGAAGTCTCTTAATAAAACTAGAAGCATTGAATGATTCTAGATCATCGAAATGCTCTCCTGTACCAATAAAGATAATTGGAGATTAAGTGGCTGAGACTGCTGACAAGGCTCCACCACCGCGGGCATGACCATCGAGCTTAGTGATAATAACTGAACCGACCTTAATTGCTTTATTAAAGGCGAGTGCTTGATCGTAACAAGCCTGACCAATGGAACTATCCATGACGAAAAGAGCAGTATCTGGGTTAACTGCAGCTTAGACTTACTGCATTTCCTCGAATAGAGCAGTCTCTTGTTTGTGTCTACCTGAAGTATCGACAATAATGATCTCAAACTTTTGTTCTTTAAAGAAGTTGACTCCCTCTTAAGCAATCTTTACTGGGTCAGTTTCTTTCTTGTGACCGAAGAATGGGCACTTGATTTTGGCTGCATTCATTTTCAGTTGCTCAAAGGCACCAGCTCTGAAAGTATCTGCGCAAACTAGACCTACTCTCCAACCTTTTCTCATGTAATGATATGCAAACTTAGTGCAGGTAGTAGTCTTACCAGATCCTTGAAGACCAACGAACATTACAACATTAGGCTTTCCTTTCTTGAACTCATAAGGTTTGTTCTCAGATTAAAGCATGTTAGTGAGTTCTTGAACAACAGTACTCTGGATGAGTTTCCTAATGTTGGCCACTGCAGCATTATTCATTTGCAGAGTTACTATAGTCTTGACTGCATCTCTCAACTTAGCTACGTACTTTATGTTCACATCAGCACCTAATAAAGCTGAAGCGATTTCAGTTAGAATTTCATTCAGTACCTTTTCATCGATGACTGTAGCTTGATTCAGCTTTCTTAGAGCCTGAGTGATCTTTTGACCTAATTCAGCTAATACCATTAGTGATTGTGTGTTTAATTATAAATTATTATATTTCGCTTCAATTCTAGACTTATCAACATAAATAAAGCAAATCTTTCACTTTCCTAATTTTTCCTACTATGATTTCTTTCGGGGTTTTGGGGTTTTGGGGTTTTGGGG